GAGAGAGAGCGAGAGAGAGAGCTAGAGAGAGAGAGAGATAGAGAGAGGGAGAAAGAGAGCGAGAGAGAGAGCGAGAGAGAGAGAGCGAGAGGGAGAGTGCGAGAGAGAGAGATAGATAGATAGAGAGAGAGGGAGGGAGGGAGGGAGGGAGGTAGGGAGGGAAAGAGGGAGAGAGAAAAATGAGTGAGTGAGTGAGTTAGAGACAGACAGAGAGCCCACTTGGTTAGCCATGGAAAGTATCAGTACCATTAATATTCTCAAGTACATGTGCTTGTTATCAGAATTCCGCGCTTCGAAGGACACATCAACGTGAGAATGCACTCTAGCTATTGCTGAGCACAACATATTGAAGGGCCAAGAAAATAGCTATGAAATAGTCCAAAATAATCCAGTTTAAGCAGATTTTTGATGGTGGAATCCAGTCTAAACAGATTCTTGGTGGTTGACTACGACTACGAAATGCTAGAGCCAAATCAGAACGGGTTGAGTGGATGAGAACACCTGCGAGCACTACGACAATATAGAAATAGAACTGGTGTGTGTGTGTGTGTGAAATCTGTGACGTGGATAGACAACGCGGAGAGGATGTGCAGCAAAATAACCTAGCAAAGAGGAAATGCAATGTTCATGATGTCAGCAAAACGAAGAGTGCTGAAATTCTAGCAAAGGGGAAAAGAAATGGTTACACGGTCAACAAAGAGTGTCGAAATTCTAGTAGAGAGCAAAAGAAACTTCACAAGGTCGGCACGACGAAGAGTGCCGGGCTGGTACAGCAGAGAAAGGCCACAGGAATCGATATCGACACGGCGTGCGATTAAATTCTAACAGCTCAGTGCCCAGCCTAGCGGGCTGGTGTGCAGATGAGTACACCCGCATGTGCTCATTTACCTAGCTATGGCCGCTGACGCACGGGGCATGCGACCTCCGCATGGGGCGGAAAAGAATCACAAAACATGCGAAAGACAAAATTATTTTAAGAGACGGAAATAATGACAGACACATTCAAAATATAAAGTTATACAATCAATGAAAGCACACCAGGAGAAACTATAGCACCCGCTCTAGTGCAGTGCACATCTAGAATAGCAAACCTGGAAGGAGAAAAAAGCAGTATTCAATGGCCTGTTGGAGAGATCTAAACTGGGCCTGTTCAAATGTGCGCGCGGAGAAAGAATGGGGCCCGTCTACTAGAGCTCGTCCCAAACTCCTGCACACAACCGGCATGTTGGTGTTGATTATAGTCTCGTTCCGTATCCTTATTCCTTACACTGGGCTAAAATTATAACTAGGTTATTGCCGACATCATTCGTTTGGCTCCCCGCTCGATCAATGCATAGGCGGGCGGCGAGGGATATTTGGGGTGAAGTTTGCCGGTCAAGTTCATATGCACTGGTGTTACATTAGTTCAATGTGCTGATAATCAGTTTCCAACGAATCTTGCATACAGAGTTTGTACATACACAGCTACACACTTCCTTGCCTGCTAATGGCTTAGAAGTCAAAGGACGGCGAAGAGGCAGGTCTGACGCTGGCCACATCGCCCTCCTCGACTCTGCTTTGGCTGCGGACGCGTGCCAGCTTGCTGTGGTCTAGCACTTGGTCGGCGGAGACTAGCGCGTATGGATCTTCCTCGCACCACTCACTTGCATCGGCAGTGGCAGCAGCTGCAGAGGCAGGGACAGCGGCTGTGGCGGCGGCAGCAGTAGCAGGCGACAAGTCTTGCGAGACGTCGCGCGACACCTTCCTGGCGCGAGCCAGGCCCATGCTGGGGCTGCGCGTGGCCCTGGAAGACTTGCGTCGCGCCGTTTCCCGTACGTCGGCCGTGGCCACAAGCTCGGCTGTCTGAACATTGAACAAGGCCATCGTGCCGTTGGCCGTCTCAGTCACCTCGTAGATGCTTTCCTCCGCGTCGTCGTCCATTGGTACCCCAAACACAGCCATGGGTATTTCAATGCCCTTTGCGGATTGGTAGATCAGGTCGCCGTCGTCGGCCTTCTTCACCGTGTTCTTCGGCGGACGCCTGCTGTAGAGCTGGGCGCGCTCCACCTCGGTGCCGCGCGACTGGGCAACGAAGCTACGCACCTTGCCCTGGCGCACGGTAGCCACCGGTGTTGCGGAGTCGGCCTGGAACAGACCAATCTTGCCTCCGCCGACAACCGCAACGCTGCAGCTCTCGGCAATTTCCTCGCAAATGTCGGCGTCGAACACGGAGAGCGGGATGATGGAGCCGGTGTAATCCGTGAAGGAATAATCGCCCTCCAGATTCTTGAAGACGGCTTTGTATATGGTGTCCTTGGTGCGAGATGCTGACGAGTAGTTGCGATTCACGCTGGCATAGTCGGATTCCACGTACGCTGCCAAGTCCTTGTCATCCATTGTATACACGTTAGCAATCTCTTGCTCCTCGGCCGTTTCCGGGGTTTTCGTTGTGTTCAGAACCTCGTCCTTCTTCTCGTTCACCGCGCTGAAGCTGGTCTTCTCCTCGCGAACGTCACAGGTGGCCACGAGTTTTATGTTGCCCTTCTGCAGCAGAGTGTAGCGTCCCGTTCTGTCAAGGGCTACTTCGTACGCCGTGTAATCATCCATATCAACGTCACCAAACACGGTCACCGGTACCGGAGTGCCATTGGCGTCGAGGAAGATCACTTCGCCGTTGGGCTTCCTCACCAGATCTCTAAAGTTTGCGTACAGCGGCTCCAGGTCCTTAGCGGTTAGGACCGGCGAGGCAGTGAACAGTCGAGACATGACGGTCGGATTGAGGAACGCAGATTTGTGGATGTCACCTTGACTAGCGGTGCCCAAGAACTCTGAGGTGGTGTTGTTGAAAAGGGCGTAGCTGCCATCGGGACCCGGCGCGGCAAAACAGTGCACGAGGTCTCTCTCGTTGATCGCAGTGTGGAATGCGGACAGCGGGACGAGCGTGCCCTTCTGCGTCTTGAAGATGTAGCGGCCCTGGATCTTCCTCAGCATTTTGTTCTCCTTGGGCTTGGGCGGCGCTGGCGTGTTGGAAGCCTCGACTACTGCTGCAGAGGCCTGTGGGTCGAGTGTGGTGAAGGCGGCTATTGATGGTGATCTGGACACGTTGGCACTTCCAGGCTTGCTGGACGTCTCGACGTCGGGCTCCCAGCCCAGCTTTGTGATGTCGACGTCAGTGGACGGCTGCTGAATCATCTGATGCATGGCGCTGGACTTGCGACGCGCCGCGTCGCTGACGAACGAGAATCCGTCGTCCTCGTATTTCTCGTGTGGAATCACAAACTGGCCAGTGCCGTCATCATCATAGACATCTTCCGAGCCATTGCCGGCGGTAGATTCAGATCCCAGCATCCTGGCCATGCCGGACAGCTTCTTCGGAGACGTTGCATGGCGTATACTTTTCGGCAAAGTGTTTTCATAAACCGGTTTGAAGGCATCCGTATCTTCAAAGCCATCCACGACACTGTCCTCGGTTACGTTCCTCTCCAGAGACGGAAGGGCGCTTACCTGCAGAATAGTGGACTGAAGCATGCTAGCAGTTTTCGATGGCTTCCTGATGTTCGCATAGTCCGATGTTGGCTTTCCTGCAGAATCCCTGCTGTTGGTGCTTGTGAAGATAGCGTTTGCAATCAGCGACGACTTTGATCGACTTCTCTTGGTTTTCTTCACCGCCGGGTTATCGTCGCTGTCCGATTCGCACGGCTGTGCAGCGAGAGTGAGCACGTTGGCGACGGAGGTGCGCCGAGAATTGCTGGCGCTGAACGGCGAGCGCGTGGCAATGTGAATATCCTGCCACGCCTCGCCGACATCCCTGCCGTCATTGTCGTCAGTCATCGTCACGTCCTCCTCCTCCTGCTGCTGCTGTTGCTTGCCACGCGACTTCTTCATGTGGCCGAGCTTGGGGCGCGATGCACCCTTGACGCCCGCCGTCTTCGGGCTGTCGGGGATTCCGTCACCGAGTCGACACTCGTTCATGTTCGACGCCGCGAGCGTGGCTTGACTCAGCGGCGCCCAGCTCTCCTGGTCGTCGTTGTTCATGTAGTCATTGAGCTCGGCCATGCTGTGAGCGGACATGCGCGGCCCATTGGCCCCCAGCATACTTGCGTCCACCGACTCGCGACTCTTCGGGAATGACTTCCCACCGGCCGCGCCCAGGGATAGCATAGAAATGGCGTCGCTAATGTGATTATTGTCGTTGCTATCCGCGTCACCGTCGTCATCCCCCCAGGCATCATCGTCATCGCCAACCTCCTCGCGCTTGCTCAACATCGACGCAATCTTGTTGTAGAAGTTTTTCTTCGACAGGTCCTGGTCTTTGTTGATCTGCATGTTTAAGCTCTTCAGGAGGTCATCAATGTTCATGTACTCGCCGTTCACGTTCTTCTGGCCCGGCCCAAGTTCACCATAGTCGTTTCCGCGGTCAAATACGCTGGTCTCATAATCGGTATCAGCTCCGTCCTTGCGACGCTTTTGCGGCAGGTTGAAGTTGTCGTAATCCCTGCAGGCGCACCGCAACAACAACAGAAATAGAATGTACTTCTCGCTCATTCTACTATTGTCTCATCTTCTATTGGCTGGTTCACTAAAACCTTATATGGCCACACCTTTTTCTCTCTGTTTCGCGTCCTCGCGCGCATGTATTGCACAACCGGAGTTCCCCAAAAAAATTGAACATGCTTGTACTCAGCTCACGCTTACATACCGGTACACGTACATGTACCTGTGTGTGTAAGCTGGGCCGCAAGTCACGCAATCATCATGTCTCCCGTGTTTGGAGCACAAGCATGGCAGAAGCGTGCCTTCCCATCCAGCTGATAATGCTGACACAGTTTGGCCAGTTTTTACCAATCAGTAGAGTTTGCATTGTGCAATACACTTACGTTGCGACATTCATTGTATAGAAATGAATACACTCATGCATGGATGCATGCATGAACAGTGCCGGGTCCTTAGTTCGCTCCACTGTACACAACTGCAATGCATGTACAATGGTTTTGTCCGCCCCCCTCATTGATTTCATCGAATAAGGGGCCATCCTTTTAAACATCGAACTTTTTCACCAAACAAATTATTTTAGTTTAGACCCAACACCTCCCTCCCTCACCCTCAGAACGTAAAAGATGTTGAAATTATTCCGGTTTGTGAAAAAGTGCGATATTTATGGATGACCGCTATATTTAAGGTGACGCAAAACATCGAAAAAAACCGGTGTGGCCTAATAATTATATTGATGAGATAAATTGATTGATTGCTTGCTATTGACCGCCCCCCCCCCTTGTTTAAATCATTTTTTAAATATTTTTACGACTCGTATAGACACACAGACACATGTGCACACATACATGCTCATATACACGTAATAAAAACACAACACATGCACAGGTGCACACCTACAAGTATACAAGCCCATACATACATGTTTACATGCATACACCAACACACGAGCCCAAATCCCCCCCCCCCCCCTCCCCCGCCACATAAAGGTGCACACATGCACAAACATACACATGCACAAACATACACACGTACAAACATACACACATACACACGTACAAACATACACATGCGCATACATGTATGCTCGCACACACAGACTCGTAACTACAGTGAAAACTGTCAAGGCGATCACTCGGATAAGGCGAGCACCTGCCCCAGAAGACCACTGTAACCAGGACCAAGGGATGCTATTACAAGTCAAATCACCCTGGATAAAGAGACCACCTGTACACGGTAACCACATTTTGAAGGTCCCTTGAGCGGTCGTCTTAGACAGCTTTCACTCTACAGTACTCGTAACCATGTACCATATATACGCCCCTCGCAAGACAAGCACGCAAATCTGCAAATGCACTGGATGTGCACCCACAGATTTTCTCTCATAACACCCACCCACACACACACACACACATACATGTACGCCCTCCCCCCCCCCCCCCCCCCCCGCCACCCACACACGTACAGTTGCCATCACCGGCCAGGGCCGGAGGCAGCTTCCGCGGAGCGGTGCGGCCGAAGGGCCATCTTTAAGGGGGTCTGGGGGTTGTCCCCCACAATTTGTTTTGGAATTTAGACGGCAAATCCTGAACTCTGGGCGACTCCCTGCACAAAATCAAACATCGAAACTTTTTCTCCCCTGTTTTGGACGTTCCACGGGGACCGACTTTTTGGGAAGTTGGTACGGCCATAGCCGTACCGGCCGTACCAGTGGCGCCGGCCCTGCACCCACGGGGCGGCACACAAGCACCCGTGTTCACGCATCCGATCAGCACTTACTCTGCAGACGCACCGAGCGGCAGAACCATAGAACTTGCAGCATGGACCATGCCTGCACCCTGTCGTCGTTTCACAACCAGGACCACAGCCATGCAGACAAACGCCAGGAAGAGACCAATGCCCACAGCAACGTAGATTGCTGGATTGGTCGTTGACTTGCTCTTTTCACCACCGTTGTTTAGCTGTCCTAATGCACCGGAAACACACACAACAAGGTAGCAGCAGCCAGCAGAGCGCGCACAGAATAACAATTAATATTTCCCGTAGCTATGCAGAAGACGTTACTTTAGTAAAGTCTGGCGCTAGCCAGGGTCCACCCAGCTTTAATTTGGTATTTGTGTGTTTGTTTGTGTCACGCCTGGCTCTATCCCGTATCTGTCCCGTACCGTACCGTACCATCAAACACAGCTGGCCACATACAGCTGGCCGCAATATTCAAATAGGGCTTTCAAACGCAAGATCATAACGTGAAGCAACTTGGAAGAATGGGTATTGTTGCGTTACTGCAACAGCACTAAGGATAAATGCCCATGCACACTCTCTCAATCCAACACAACCATCACACTCCGGTAGGAATTACAAACTATACTTGATGAAGACAGAAGGAGAAGTCCCGAACACCAGGAACAGAGTAGGCATGTAAACAGCACAGGCACGCAACAGTTACCGCTGGTGCATGCGAGGTGCATGTGCGTACGCGAAGGTGTGAAATAGGAAGCGGGGTCAAATTACATATGGATGCACTATGCCAAATATATAGGCACAGGTAGGTGACTGTACATCTCCCCCCGAAAAAAAATGCGAACGGAGGGACACGAGAAAGTGTGGAGCAAAGGAGAGAGGAAAAGGAACAATAGCAGTTCTGGAGCGGGTACCAACGTGAGCATTACTCAGAATGATAGAGAGAAAAAAAACATGAAAAGAACACAGTCATAGTTCAACTGGAACACATGGAGTAAACAGTGTTACTGTGTTCAGGTATTGGCAGCATAGCGTTGCGGCGCATGGCGAACACGGCTGGATGGTGGTCGGCGACCGGGTGGCAGAGGCTTAGCAACTCTAGGAGACTGCGGCACAGGCAGAAGAGGTGGCAGAGTAGAGTTAGCTGGTAGTTGCAGGGCAACATGCACAGGAGCCGGAACACCATACTCAACCTCATACATGGGCTCAATGGAGGAGGGTGAGCGGGAGGGATCAGGGCGTTTGGCTGGCGTGGATGGCAACGCACGCACGTGGCGACGATTTCGGCGGACAGATGACCCAGGAGTGAGGTCGATCGTGTAAGAGCGTTCGGACAGGCGGTTCTGGACGTGTCCTGTTTTGTCCATATCGGGGACATACACAGGAGCACCAGGGGCGAGAACAGGCAGCAGTCGAGCACGGTGGCGTTGATTGTAGCGATCAGCCTGCCGAGACCTGGAAGATGTTTCTTTGTCGGCAAGGGCGGTCAAATCGGGCCAGGCTGGAGCAGGGAGGGGTCCTGGTAGCCGGGAGCGGATTTGGCGGCCGAACAACAGCTGTGACGGTGAATAACCGTTGGCCAATGGCGTAGACCGGTAGGCCAAGAGAGCGGAAGGCAAGTCATCATTCTTGAGGATGAGCTGCTTGGCTGTCTGAACGGCACGTTCTGCAGCGCCGTTGCTTTGGGCGAAGCGAGGACTTGACGTGCGATGGGCAAACCCAAGCTCGGCAGCAAATGCACGGAAGCTGGCACTAGCAAATTGTGGACCGTTGTCAGACACTAGCGTGTGTGGAATACCATGGGTAGAAAACACGGAGTGGAGAGAGGCAATCACAGCGGCAGACGTAGTAGTGGTAAGTTGTTTGACTTCGATGTAGCGCGAGAAATAGTCGACAACAACTAGGTAAGTGGATCCTTTGGCTGCGCACAGATCACACGCGATCTTTGACCATGGAAGAGATGGGAACTCGGACGAGATGAGCGGCTCGGCTGGGTTAGGACGGGCCTTGGCACAGGTGGCACAAGACATCACATACGACTCAATGTCCGTAGACATACCAGGCCACCACATCACAGCGCGCGCACGAGCACGACACTTACCAACGCCTTGGTGACCCTCGTGAGCACTGGCAAGGGCGGCGTTGCGCTGGGATGCAGGGATGATGACACGTTGGCCACGGAATATGAGACCATCAGCAGTTGAGAGCTCATCACGAACAGCGAAGTACGGGCGGAGGCTAGCGGGGACCGAGGTGGGCTTGGCTGGCCACCCGTTGAGGATGAGGGCACGGAGGCGACACATGTCGGCATCAGCGTTGGTCGCGTTCCGAACGTCGACCAGGAGCGGGTCGGTGGAGCAATGCGATGTGACGGCAGACACATGCAGCTGTACTTCATCAGCAAGATCACTAGTAGGCGAGGACTCTTGCGGAGCACGGGATAGGGTGTCGGCAATGACGAGTGATTTGCCGGGCACGTGGATAGCGGTTGGGTTGTACCTCATCAGCCGCATCAGGAGTCTCTGGCATCGCAGAGGAGAGCGGGTGAGATCAGCGGAGTTGATGAGAGGCACGAGAGGCTTGTGGTCAGTCTCGACTGTGAACTGAGGACCGCCGTAGATGTAGTGGTGGAAATGCTCGCATGCCCAAACGATGGCGAGACACTCTTTCTCAATCTGGGCATAGCGCTGCTCAGTAGGTGATAGAGAGCGGGACGCATAGGCAACAGGGCGCCAGCGGGAGCCATCAGGCTGCAGGAGGACAGCACCCAGTCCGTAGCTACTGGCATCAGCACTAATACGGACGGGCTGGTCGGGCGAGAACAGTGCCAAGCAGGGAGCAGTAGTAGCGAGTTCCTTGAGGCGACAGAAGGCAGTTTCTTGCTGGGTGTCCCACTGCCAGGCGGTGTCGGCCTTCAGTAGAGCACGGAGCGGGGCACTGACATTGGCCATATCTGGCACAAACTTCGACAGAAACGTGAACATACCCATAGCACGGCGTAACTCGGGCACATTGGTCGGTGACTTCAGAGCTTGGATGGCAGACACCTTGGCTGGGTCTGGGCGGACACCGTCAGCACCGATGAGGTGACCCAGGAACGTCAGGGACTTCATACGGAGGCGACTCTTGGCGGGGTTGAGGAGTACGCCTGCAGAAGCGAGAGCTGCGTGGACAGCAGTGAGGGCAGCATCGTGCTCAGCTAGAGTGGCACCGAACACGAGGATGTCATCCATGAAGACGACCACGTTGGGAATGTGCCCAACGATTTCCAGTAGGCGACGCTGGAAAACCTCTGGCGCACTGGTGATACCAAAGGGTAGACGGTTGAAGTGAAACCGGCCAAACGGTGTCATGAACGTAGTGAGTGACGCACTGTCGTCAGCAAGTGGAACTTGCCAGAACCCAGACGCCGTGTCAAGCGACGAGAAGACCTTGGCTCCGGACAGCTTGCCCAGGGTGTCTTCGATGGTCGGCAGAGTGAAGTGTGAGCGCTTCACGGACTGGTTCAGGCGTTTGAGATCCACGCAGATGCGGACGGAGCCATTCTTCTTGAGCACGGGCACCATGGGCGCACACCAGTCGGTCGGATCGGTGACTGGAGAGATGACTCCCATCTGGACCATCCGGTCAAGTTCGGTCTTGACCTTGGCTTGCAGGTGGATGGGAACTCGTCGTGCGGTCTGGCCGTGATATGGTTGGGCATTGTCTTGCAGCTCGATGGTAGCTGCAGGACCGGACATGCGACCAATGACAGGAGGAGCGGACGGAGGGCTTGCGGATGCCTCGGATACATCGCAAGACAGGAGGTTCAGGTCCTGGCACACACTGCGGCTCAGGAGGTTGCTGGGGCCATTAACAACAATAACACGGAAAGTGACGTTGCGGTCCTTCCAGGAGCTGGCAGCAACAAATGCGCCGTGTATGGGTAGAGGTTGGCCGTCAGGTCCAGTGACCTTAGTGGAGATCGGGGTGAGCTTAGGTTGAGGACTGAGGCTATTGTAGGAAGGCAGTGACAGGAGTGTGCAGTCTGCGCCAGAGTCCAGCTTGAACAACACTGACTGGCCATTGATGGGGAGCTCAACAAGCCAGGGTTCAGTTGAGTCAGGAATGGATACTGAACTCAAAACACAGATACTGGGTTCCTGTGACTCGGATGAAGCACTACCCATAAAACAACTAGCACTAGCACTAGCACTAGCAGAATCACTCACCGGATGGTCAGACATCTCACTCGCGCCCACTTGACGAGAGCTACGACACACTTTGGCAAAGTGACCACGACGCTGGCACTTACGGCACTCGACGGACCAAGCAGGACACTCGCGGCGCGAGTGACCACTGGATGAGCCACAGCCGGAGCAGGGAGCGCGCGGAGCAGAGGTTGCTGGAGGGCCACGTGTCGAGTAGCTAGGCGCGGACTGGCGAGATGCAGCGGGAGCATTCTTCGGTCTGCCAGTTCCACGAGATTGTTTGTGATGTCCGCGAGCGACAGCGGCTGCGACGGAGGGCTGAGTGGCTGCGGAGCGTTGAGTGGCTAGCTGGATTTCGAGGGTCTCAGCTGCCTTGGCCTCCTTGAGAACATCGGCGAGGGTGAGGGAGCCTATGTCCTTTTTCTGCATCGCCTTACTCACTTCAGAATCAGCCATGTGGGCGACGAGGTGATCGCGGATCCGTTCTGACGGCTTGTCGAAACGGCATCTCGCCGCGACAGAGTGGAGTCGGCTTGAGAACGTGGCTACGGACTCACCGGGGAGCTGACGGAGACGAGCGAACTGCGTCCGTTCGTGGATAACATTGTCCGCAGGTGCAAAGTACTTGTCGAAAGCATCGACCACTTTATCGAAGTCGTCCTTGTCGGAATCTTGGGCGAAGGACAACTCACGCTGGAAGATATCATCCGCAGTTGGGCCCAGAGAGTAGATGAGAGTGGAGATTTGGACATCTGCGGATTCGGAAGAGAGTTTGGTAGCAATCTGGAAGCGTGTGAATCGGCTTTTCCAGCGGGGCCAATTCTCAGGTGCGGAAAAGTCGAAGCTTTCAGGGGGCTGAAATTTCGCCATGGCGAGCGGGTCCGGTGGCGAGGGTTCGGGGTACCAGTTCTGACACCAAGTGTTGCGTTACTGCAACAGCACTAAGGATAAATGCCCATGCACACTCTCTCAATCCAACACAACCATCACACTCCGGTAGGAATTACAAACTATACTTGATGAAGACAGAAGGAGAAGTCCCGAACACCAGGAACAGAGTAGGCATGTAAACAGCACAGGCACGCAACAGTTACCGCTGGTGCATGCGAGGTGCATGTGCGTACGCGAAGGTGTGAAATAGGAAGCGGGGTCAAATTACATATGGATGCACTATGCCAAATATATAGGCACAGGTAGGTGACTGTACAGGTATGACTGCGAAGTGTACGGGGGAATGCATGTAGGGCGATAGTGCGGGTTCGAATTCCAGGATATGCCTGAAAAAAAAATAGGAGAATTGAAAAATTTATAACATCCCTATGCTTTTTTTGCCGTCATCAAGGCGGTAGACGGTGTCGTATTACCCTTGATCGTACCTGTCCTGTACCTATCCCGTACCGTACCATCAAAGACGGCTGGCCACAATGCATAATTCAAATAGGGCTTTCAAATGCAAGATCATAACGTGAAGCAACTTGGAAGAATTAGTATGTATGCGAAGTGTATCGGGGGATGCATGCAGGGCGCGCGATAGTGCGGGTTCGAATCCCAGGTTATGTCTAAAAAATGGATTTTTTAAAGAATATATAACATCCCTATGCTTTTTTTTTGTCTAGATTATCAAGGCAAAGAAGCATAGCGTAGGGCCCTGAGCTTCCAAGCTCTCTCGTATGTTGACCTTTGCAGCGCTAAGGCCTCGGTAGAGCGTGCACAGAATAATAATTATAGACCTTCGCGGCGCTAAGACCTTGGCAGAGCGTGCCCAGAATATGTTGACCTCTCGCTGTGCTAAGACCTCAGCAGAGCATGTACAAAACATGTTAAAAGGGAAGTTAAGCCTATAATCAAACTTCTAATTGTAGTCTTCGGGGTGCTGAGTCGAATGGTGGTGGTCTGAGGAAGCTGAGACGCTCCGTTCCTCCTTTATTTCTCAATCGAACTCGCGTACTTCCAGCGAAACTGGGTGACTGCGCCCTACTACAGTAGATGGGGATGTGTATAAAAATGTCACTAAAAGCGCCATCAAGAGTAGATAAACAAGAGTGTGCAACTCCGGATCTCTCCTGCACAATCTGCAGATACCCCGCGCCCACGGCGGAATTTTTTGTTTTCGTCACCTTTTTTCAGAGAAACGCGGCTTTGCCGCAGAGCAGTGTGAGAGCACGTGCTGGGCACGACCTTGTAGTGTAAAGCCCAGCCAAGTGCACGAGGGAAAACTCTCCAAAAGGCTCGCAGCGCGTGCGTCGTCGAAAAGATTACGTCAACAAAAAATTCCGCCGTGGGCCAACCCATCCGCGAGTTGCACACTCTTGTTTATCTACTCTTGGCGCCATTTTGTTCTTTTAAAAGCACAGTTGACCGCGATTGGCCCATATGTTGTAGCCTTTCGGACGCTGAGTCGACTGGTTTTGGTCCGAGAAAGCTTCTTTGCAGCGTTCGGCCTGGATTCCCAATCGAACATACCGTATTTCCGCAAATAGTAGGCCGGTCTACTATTTTCTCAAACTCGTCCTAACCCGGCCTTATAATTGAGGACGGTCTTGTATTCGAGGACGGTCTTCTATTCTTTCAACCCAGTTTGACCCCGGTCTTCTATAGAAGTCACAAGAGTACTTCTTTCGCGTATTGCAGGCTATGGTCGAAAGAAAAAGCTACAAGGACTGGCAGAGCGTGATGGCGGAGTCACAAGAAACCAGAAGATGTGCCACACATGCCACGTGTAGTTGCAGTGTTGTACAAAATGGCAGCCGTCGCACTGCGCATGCGCAGCCGTAAGACTCATTTAGCAGGCCCGGTCTTCTAATCGGAGACGGTCTTGTATTTTTTCAATCGCCCCCTGCCCCGGCCTTGTATTCGAGGAAGGCGTTGTATATGAGGACGGTCTTTTATTTGCGGAAATACGGTAGTTGAATAGACGGTCCCATGCTCATGTGTGTACAAGTCACCTGGTCACCGTGCCTGCAGGCTACAACTCTTGGGCGCGTTCCTGTCGTGTGAAAATTGTACCCTGCAGGCACGGTGACCAGGTGACTTGTGCACGTATGAGCACGTGACCGCTTATTCAACTATGTTCGATTGGGAATACAGGCCGAACGCTGCATCGCAGCTTTCTCGGACCAAAACCAGTCGACTCAACGTCCGAAAGACTACAACATATGGGCCAAGCGCGGTCATCCGGTCTTATAAAATGGCGCTTTTACTGACAGTTTGCATACAAATCCCCATCTAGTAGGGCGCAGTCACCCAGTTTCAGTGGAAGTGCACGAGTTTGATTGGGAATGAAGGAGGAAGAGAGAGTGACAGCTTCCTCGGACCAAGACCATTCGACTCAGCACCCCGAAGACTACTACAACTGGTGAAAAATTGATTTTAGGCTTAATTTCCCATTTAAATTTGCGGTGCAAAGACCTCAGCAGAGTTACCGTATTTCCCCGATTATAGGTCGCACTCGATTATAAGTCGCACCCGCATTTCAAGGTTTGAGAAATAATTATAGTTTTGATATAATTGACTTCAGTAGTAACTTAGTAAGTCATGCTCGATTGTAAGTCGCACCCCCTTTTCACCCTTCATTTTTAGTGTAAGAAGGTGTAAGACTTATAATCGGGAAATATGGTAACCTTGGCGATGCTCAGAACTCAACGGAGCATGTACAAAACTTGTTGACTCTCGCAATCCTAAGACCTAGGCAGAGTGTGTACAAAACATGTTGACCTTCACGGCGCTAAAACCTCAGCAGAGCAAGTGCATACGGTAATAATTATGTAGACGCTTGCACCGCTAAGACCTGGGTGCGTTCCTCGACACGTTCCCCAGACCCACTACACACACAGGTCTCATGCAGCATATTGACGGGTCATCCTTGTACAAGTACAGTCAGACCTCGCAATAACCGCACACATCCGGTTTCCACAAAAATACCCGGATAGGCGGGGGAACAGCATATGCTGTAAATGCTGTAAATCGGTAGCCAACGATTTTCTTCCGGATGGCCAGGGATCCGGATAAAAGAGGACCGGATAAGCGAGGTCTGACCGTACTGCCTTGGGATACTACCGGAACGTCTTTCAATAGATCCACTCCCGAACAGTTGTTCAACACACAATACCTTGCCACACAAACACAGTGTCTTACCTATGAGGCGGAGCGCTGTGCAGTTGATACCGTCACCGGTGAAGTCCGACAGGCAACGGCACGTGTAGTTGAGCGCCGGCATGCTGGACGTGCCGTTGCCAGAGTGACAGGTGGCAAACTGGCTGCAGTTGTGCGTCCTGGACAGGCACGGCTCCTGCACGTCGCAGCCACCCGCGCCGTCGCTGGCGAAGTAGAGCGGACATCGGCACGTGTACGAGCCGTCTGTGTCTATGCAGTCGGCCGGCTGGCGGCATGCGCTCAACGTGCGGTTTTCACATTCGTTCACGTCGTCGCAATAGTCGCCGTCCGCCGATTCCCGTTCGTAGCCAGTGTTACACGGACAGCTGAAGGAGCCGTTGGAGTTCACGCAGTACGAACGCTTTGCCGCACACGGAGACGACTCGCACTCGTCCACATCCATGCAGTGCGTGCCATTGCCCTTGTACCCGGTTGGACAGGAGCATGCAAAGCTGCCGGCAGTGTTCGTGCAAATACCGACCGCCGTATCGCAAGCATGCACTCCAATGCTACATTCGTCCACATCCTCACAGTGAGTCCCATTACCAGTGTATCCTTGCTTGCACGAGCAGCCAAAACTACCAGCTTTGTTCATACAATCAGCGCTAGTATCACACGAACCTTTCAATTCACATTCATCCACATCATTACAGGTTGCATTCAAACCGGCCAAGAATCCACGTTCACACGAACACGTGAAAGAGCCATAGGTGTTGGCGCAACGACTGTTTGGAGAACAGGAGTGTGGCCAAGAACATTCATCAACATCCTGACAGTGTGTGCCATTACCATAGTAACCAGCACGACATATACATGTGTAGCTACCCTCGGTGTCATTACAGCTGGCATGGCGGTCACATAATGTACTGCCGAGAACGGTCACATCAGACTTGGTGGAGTCCTCGGCGATGACTGCTTGGGTCAGTGTGCATTCGTCAATATCGATACAGAACTGTCCATTTCCTGTATAACCTACAGAACATGTGCATGCATAGCTTCCTTGGGTATTGTTACAGTCGGCATTTCTATTACACTGGTGAGCTGATGATGATTGTGATGGGAGTTGACATTCATCAACATCTGTACAGCTTGTTCCATTCCCAGTGTAGCCAGTTGAGCAAGCGCAGGAGAAACTTCCGACGCTGTCTGAACATTGTGCGTTCGGAGAACAGCGGTGCTCGCCATTCTGACACTCGTCCTCGTTGTCGCAGAACAGTCCGCTGCCTCGGTAACCCGGCCTGCATGCACACGTGTGACCACCCGCGGTGTTGGAGCAGGTGGCGTTGGCGTGGCAACCATGGCTGCCATCCAAGCACTCGTTGGTGTCCTGGCAGTGCGTTCCGTTTCCTGAACGAGCGACAACAGCACAAGTGGAATAAAAGGGTCATGAAGTGAATTCAAATCCAGGTCTAGGCCTGGTTGTTTGAAACATGCAACCCAACAGACAATGTGCATCAGATCTAGTGTGTATGTGTCTTGTTTTCTTGCATTCACGTCTAGTGACATGCAAGCAACTATCCTCGCGATGGTGTTTTGACCATAAAACTATTAAAGCGATACATTGGTTAATGTGCGCAATCCTGATGATGGCTCCGGGCCGAAATTTGGATCAAGATGTTGTAATTTGCAGCAAAGAGACCACTTGAAGATGGTGTGTGTAAGGTGTTTCATTTGATACACTGGGCTAAAAAATACACCGCACAAATAGGCAAGACGTTTCATTGGATCTAGTTGTATCTAGTTCACTTGAAAAGCATGCACGTAAACCGGTTTGTGAAATTTCTTAAGCACCCTGCCCCCCCCTCTCCCCTGCCCCCCTCTCCCCTGCCCCCCCTCTCCCCTGCCCCCCCGTCTCCCCTGCCCCCTCTCCCCTGCCCCCCTCTCCCCTGCCCCCCCCCTCTCCCCTGCCACCACAACCACGTAGCACAGTGTTATTACAGGCGCGTGCGCCGGTGCCCTTCAAGGGGGGGGGGGGTTCCGGGGCCTCCCCGGGAAATTTTTCAAAAAATGAAGCAAAATCCTGCATTTTGAGCAAAAGGGGGGGGGGGGTCCGGGCACCCAGGAACCCATACGCGGCACGCGCCTGTATTATAACACAATGCTGGTCTCTGCAGGATAATACTCACCGCTGAATCCAGTTGTGCAGACACAGGAGTAGCTGGCCTCGTTGTTCCGACAGGAGCTGCCGTTGTTGCCGCAGAGACTGAGCGACGGCGGACTGGCATTACATTCATCAATGTCCGCACAGTGCTCTGCCCCGGTGATTCCAGTAGCTGTGGCCGAATACCCGCTCTTGCACTCACACGTGTAGGAGGCCACCGTATTGCGACATTCGGAGTTGGTCACGCAACTCGCGCGTCCCAACAAACACTCGTCCACGTCCGTGCAATTGTGGCCTTCGACCGCCGACGTGGATTGATAGCCGACATTGCAGCTACACTTGTAACTACCAACAGTATCTGTACAGCCAGCGTTTCCATCGCAACGATGTGCGCCAGTCGTGCATTCATCTATATTCGTACACAGTGTTCCATTGCCACTATACCCACTGGCACACCGGCAAGCAAACGAGCCCTCCTTATTGGTGCACTCGCCGTTAGTGTCGCACGGATTCGTGTAACACTCGTTCACGTCTTCACATCTGCCGTTGCTAGCCTTCACGTACCCAGCGACACACGGGCATGTGAAACTGCCGTTTGTATTACTGCACGCTGCGTTGTTGCTGCAGAGACTGCTCGACGGAGGACTGGCATTACATTCATCAATGTCCGCACAGTGCTCTGCCCCGGTGATTCCAGTAGCTGTGGCCGAATACCCGCTCTGGCACTCACACGTGTAAGAGGCCACCGTATTGCGACATTCGGAGTTGGTCACGCAACTCGCGCGTCCCAACGAACACTCGTCCACGTCCGTGCAATTGTGGCCTTCGACCGCCGATGTGGATTGATAGCCGACATTGCACCTACACGTGTACCTGCCAGAGGTATCTGTACAACCGGCGTTTCCATGGCACTGGTGTGCACCAGCCGTGCATTCATCTATATTCGTACACAGCGTACCATTGCCATAATAGCCACTGGAACATCGGCAAGAAAACGAGCCCACCTCGTTGGTACACACACCGTTCGGGTCGCACGGAAGCGTGTAGCATTCGTTCACATCTTTACAACTGCCTTTGCCGTCGCTAGCCTTTACATAGCCGGCGATGCACGGGCATGTATAACTGCCCTGTGTGTTACTGCACGCTTGATTAGTCACGTTACACATGTGGCTTCCCTGATCACACTCGTCAACATCATCACAATTCGAACCATTGCCGGCAAAGCCCAACTGACAGCCACAACTAAAGGAGCCAATAGTATTCGTACAATGTCCGTGGTGATGGCATGGTTCGACAATACACTCGTTGACATCAGTGCATACAGCATGGCCATCGGCTACAGCCGCGAAATACGAATATCCATTGTTGCACTTGCAGGTGAAGCTGCCTCGTGTGTCCGTGCAAGCGGCATTCGAATCACATGTGTGAGTGCCGAGCATGCACTCGTCAGCATTTCTACAGTCGGACCCGTTACCTTGGTAACCATTGTCACAGGCACAGCTGAACGAGCCGACATTGTTCGTACAGGCTCCGTGATCGTGGCATGGTCTGCGGTTGCATTCGTTCACGTCTTTACAACTGCCGTCACTAGCCTTCGCGTAGCCGGCGATACATGGGCATGCGTAGCTGCCCTGTGTGTTACTGCACGCTTGATTAGTCACGTTACACATGTGGCTTCCCTGAGCACACTCGTCAACATCATCACAATTCGAACCATTGCCGGCAAAGCCCAACTTACAGCCACACCTAAAGGAGCCAATGGTATTCGTACAATTTCCGTGGTGGTGGCATGGTGCGACAATACACTCGTCGACATCAGTGCATACAGCATGGCCATCGGCTACAGCCGCGAAATACGAATATCCGTTATTGCATTTGCAGGTGAAGCTGCCTCGTGTGTCCGTGCAAGCGGCATTCGAATCACACGTGTGAGTGCCGAGCATGCACTCGTCAGCATTTCTACAGTCGGACCCGTTACCAAGGTAACCCTCGTAACAGGCACAGCGAAACGAGCCGACGCTGTTGGTGCACGTTCCGTGATTGTGGCACGGTCTGCGGTCACATTCATTCACATCCTTGCATGTGCCATTGCCGTCGCTAGCCTTCTCAAACCCGGCGTTACATGCACAAGTGAAGCTACCCGGGGAGTTGCTGCACGTTGAATTGCTGGGACAGTTCTCACCCAAACACTCATTAATGTCGCCGCACATTGTTTTCCCGTCTCCACTGTAGCCATTGTTACAGCTGCACTGAAACGAGCCAATGCTATTCGTGCAGGTACCATCGGTGTGACACGGCTTGTCATAACATTCGTTTACGTCGCTGCAGCTCCTGCTTCCGTCCTTCGCCGGGTAGAAGCCCGGAACGCAGGGGCAGGAGTACGAGCCGGCCGAGTCGACGCAGCTCGTGTTGGCGAGACAGGCGTGCGTTCCCTTGGCGCACTCGTCCACATTCGAACACAGCTCGCCGTTTCTGACGTACCCTGTGCTACACGCGCAACTGTAGCTCCCAAAGCTGTTCGTGCACACGCCGTTCACTGGGCACGGCTTCCGGTTGCATTCGTTCACGTCCCCGCATGCGCCGCTGCCATCCGAGGCCGACATGAAGCCGGGATTGCACGGGCAAACGTAACTGCCCGGCGAGTCCGTGCAGGTGGCGTTTGAGTGACAGGTGTGAGCTGTTGGTGCTGTAAGGCTGCATTCGTTGATGTTAGTGCAGTTCCTGCCCGTTCCGGCATAACCAACTTGGCATTTACAGCTGTACGAGCCGTCCGTATTGGTACAGACTGCGTTACGACCGCACGGTGCGCTGTTGCATTCATCAATATCCGTACATCCTCCACCGGTCGCAGGCGCATAACCGACTTTGCAGGGGCAAACAAAGCTGCCATCCGTATCGCTGCAGTTGGCCTGGGCAGGGCAATTGTCAGTTTTGAGAGTACATTCATTAACATTTGTGCAGTGCGTGCCATTTCCCGAATAGCCGAGCTGGCACAAGCACTGGAACGATCCGACAGTGTTTTTGCAGTTGGCGTTTGCGTCACACGGCTTTCTGTTGCACTCGTCCTCGTCGTTGCACTGAACCCGTGCGTCGCCATAGTAACCCGACGAGCACGTACACTCGTAACTGCCCACCGTGTCGACGCAGCGTGAGTTCGCGGCGCACAGCCTGCCCAAGGTCGTGGTGCCAGTGGCGGGAAGCGGAAACGGAATGAAACCGCCGCCGCCTCCTTCGCCTCCCTGGAAGGGAATCAGCGGCGGCTGGGTAGGAATCACCATGGTGACGTTACACTCGTCGATATTGGAGCAACGAACGCCGTCTCCGGTGAACCCGGCGCTGCACGTGCAGGTGAAGCTGCCCACGCTGTTCTTGCATGTTGCGTTGGCGCTGCAGTCGTGTGCATCGCTGCTGAGTGAGCATTCGTCGTCGTCAACGCACTTCTGTGCGCGGGTCTTCACGTAGCCGCGGTTGCAGTGGCACGAGTACGAACCGTTTGTGTTGCGGCACACTGACTCACTCGGGCACGCCGTTGGGTCATTGCATTCGTCAACGTCAGAGCAGCTGTTCCCCTCGTACCCAGGGGTGCAGTGGCACTTGTAGGAACCGATAGCGTTCTCGCACCAGGAGCGTTGCGGGTCGCAGGCGTGCAAGCCGGTAAAGCACTCGTTGTCGTCACGACACACGGGCGTGGTGCTCACACTGCTGCCCTGTGCAGTGTCGTCGGCGTGCGCGGAGTACCCGCTGGCACATGGACACGTGTACGAACCGTTGTTGTTCGTACACACGGAGCCGGCGCCGCAGAGCTTCTGCGCTCGCGTCCCCTCGTCCAAACACTCGTTGATGTCCTGGCAGGTGTGGCCGTCACCCGAGTATCCAAGGCGACAGCTGCACTGGTGACCGATGAGCTGATCGAGGCAATCGGCGTTCGGGCTGCAGCTGTTCAGCTTGGGCGAGGCGCATTCGTCGATTTCCGTGCAGCTCTGACGGCCATCACCGGTGAATCCCAGGTTACAGGCACAGGAAAATGAGCCAGGGCTGTTGGTGCACTCAGAGTTTTGTATACACGGCAAGTTCTGGCACTCGTTCACGTCCACACAGTTGTTGCCGTTGAGCTCGAAACCTAGTCGACAGCGGCAGTTGAACGAGCCTGGCGTGTCCACACAGGTGGCGTTGCGGCCGCAAGCCGGCCGTCCGCTCGCACCACTTAAACACTCGTTGATGTTCACACAAGTGCCGCTGCTGCTGTCCAGGACATAGCCGTAGTGGCATTGGCATGTGAAGCTGCCTGCCGTGTTCTCGCAGCGCGAGAGCGTGGGGCAGCTGGTCACATTCCTACCGCACTCGTTCACATCCACACAGCTGGTGGTCGAGTCGATCGAATGTACATAGCCGCTCCTGCAGCCACACGAGTAGGTTCCAAACGTGTTGTTGCACGTTGTGGTGGTCAAGTCACACTTGTGAGCCGATGTGCTGCATTCGTCATTGTCCTGGCAAACCTGCGTGCTGCTCACGACGGCCAAACTTGTGCCCTGGTGTACGCATTCGCATTCAAAGCCTCCGGGTACATTCACGCACTCGGTGTTCAGTCCGCAATTGTGTGCACCGCTGCTACATTCATCGATATCGTCACAAGATACACCAGAGTAACCAGAGAAACAGTGACACGCGTATGAACCATTGCTGTCCATGCAGTTTGATGTTCGTGGGCAAGTTTGCACCTCAATGCACTCGTCTATATTTTCACAGCTTGTTCCATTTCCAGTGAAGCCAGCCTGACAACTACAAGAGTAGCTACCTTCAAAGTTACTGCAGTCAGCGCCAAGCACGGCGCATTGGTGTGTTCCGGACTGGCATTCATTTTCATCATCACATGTGTACCCGTCACCAACATAGCCAGTTGGACAAATGCAGCTGTGAGTCGAAGCCGTACTTGTGCTGGTGGCGGCGGTACTAGGGTTGGGTGTGCACGAGGCTCTGCTATCACACGTTCTACCTTGTCTCAGGCACGGGTCCTTGGGATTGCACAGTGTACCGTTGCCCGTGAATCCAGCCTTGCAGCGACAGCTGAACGTTCCCGGAGTATTTTGACACACGCCGTTATCTGTATTGCAATGATGCGTGCCAAGCGAACATTCGTCGTCGTCGATACACGCCGTAGCGTTATCGGTGTACCCAGTTGCTGGGCACTTACACGCGTAAGAGCCGTAGGTATTGATGCAGAACGACGGCGGTTTAAGGTGACAGCGATGCGTGCCCAGGGCGCATTCGTCCACAGTGTCACACACACTGCCATTGCCAGTGAAGCCAGCTTGGCAGTTGCACGTGAAGGACCCCGGGGTGTTGTTGCAATGCGCTTTGTGAGAGCATCCCGCCCCGCCATTCGCACACTCGTCAATGTCTGCAACAAGGACCGGAAACAAAAACAGTCACATATATAGGTCAGTGACAGATAGAAATCAGAACTCAGTCTAAGTCATGTACAGTCGACCTATCCTTATAATGATATTAAGTTTGTGATTTGGTTTGACAGAAAAATATCGTTATAAGGGTAATAATTATCGTTATAGGGTAATATCGCTATAAGGGTAATATCATTATAGGGGTTATCGTTATAAAGGTTATATCGTTATAAGGGTAATATCATTATAAGGGTAATATCATTATAGGGTATTTAAACAATCGACGAGGAGACAATAGTCGTAAAATGGCAATAAATAAGATAAATTGTGCACTCATAACAACAGCAAAAATGAAGAAAGTCAAGTTCCATAACGTTTTCTTGTGACTGTCATCAGTGGAACGCCGTCACATAAAAATGTAATAACTAAAACACACACTTATATACATGTAGCTAATATGGTTTCAGGTAGAAATACAGCAGCTAACAAGTACAAAAAGCGAAGTTTGCACCTTTGCAATGTGTGAATATAGTGTATGTGAGAAAGGTAGTGGCAGATGAATGTGATACTGTGTGAATGAATGTAATGGTGCGTGTGTATTACTTGAAGAGTGTGATTTAGTGTGTGGTTTAGTGTTATTCGTTGTGCACGTTTCTTCAAGCAATTGCAGGTGTTGGAAGCTGTGTATATTCGTACTCGTGACCCTGTGCTATGTAAACAGAAAGAAAACGTTGTATCACTCACACTCTTCAAGTAATACACACGCACCATTACATTCATTCACACAGTATCACATTCATCTGCCACTACCTTTCTCACATACACTATATTCACACATTGCAAAGGTGCAAACTTCGCTTTTTGTACTTGTTAGCTGCTGTATTTCTACCTGAAACCATATTTGCTACATGTATATAAGTGTGTGTTTTAGTTATTACATTTTTATGTGACGGCGTTCCACTGATGACAGTCACAAGAAAACGTTATGGAACTTGACTTTCTTCATTTTTGCTGTTGTTATGAGTGCACAATTTATCTTATTTATTGCCATCATTATAGGGGTTATAATTATAAGGGTAATATCGTTACGAAGTAATGTTTTTTTTTGGTAATATCGTTATAGGGGTTATCGTTATAGAGGTTATGCGATAACATCAAATCCGCCATATATAGGAGTCAGTTGGGGTGGCAAAATGCCCAAAGCGGGTACAGAAACCCCTTATATAGAAGAATTCGGGGTGGCAAACGTACTGTATGACGTGTATCGCACAACCTCTATAGCTTATAAGGGTAGGTCGGCTGTACAGTGATACTCCCCAGATTCGTACGTCCCTAATCCTGGCATGGCCGTCTACCAGGCACATGTTTTACCCATTTAGAGTCACAGAATTGGCATTTCTATGAAAAAAGGCCCCACAAACTATTGATTGGCATACTGAAAAGTGTTACTTGTATATGCACTGTACGTACTACATGCAGTGCGCAGAGTAAATCGGCAAGTTCCGAGTTATGGGCGTGTTGCGGAATCTCAGCCATTCCGTTCCCCGGGACGCAGGACACAAAGGACAAGGCCAGTTTGTTTTACATGATATATTTTGACATTACGGACATGAAGACTACACGGAAAGGGACGAACAAGAAGACTGACAAAAGGACTCTCGCCTACAAAATCGTGCATGCTCATGTCGCACATGCACGCGACTAGACGAGACCGTTTGGGGAATGCCATCACACATGAAAACAACACAATCTTTTCACAACAGGCAATTCCTAGCTACGGGCGGTGTTCGCTCCCGACCTATCCGGATCTGGGCACTTTCACTGTATGTGTCAAGAATGGAGAGAGATGAATCTCAGATTACAATGGCTCAGCCTTTGAGAGAGAGAGTTTGCCCTGTAATGTTGGCTTCAAAAGCAAGAAAACGCAGCACAAATTGACGATTCACCCTCAAGGACTAAGACACCGTCGCACCTCCTAAAACGGTGGGAGGCGAGCAGGTAACAGTTACGACAAAGTTTGTCAAAGACCAAAAATCTCATTCAGTGCCCCAATACTGAGGCCTTTCGTTCCCAATACTCTGTGGGGAAGAGGGTGGGGGCTTGTGCCAGGCCGATTGCGTTTTTAATGCACTGCGGGGAGGGGGTTGCCCTCGTGCAAAGACACGAGTTTCCAAATCGCTGTGGGGCAGAGTTGGGCGAGGGAAGCGGTTCCCTCCTGCCAGGCCACAAGTTTCCAGTTCACTGCGAGTTACAGCATGGTTGGAAACATGCTTTGAGTTCCAGACTGAACTCGACCCTGCAACCCTCTGTTTCTCAGCCATGGTCTTCATCTACAGTCTTCCCTCTTTAATCCAGCACTTTATAGACCAGCATTAGTTTCAGTTACCAAAATGTCCTGTTCATGCACATTGCAGCGGCAAATCAGATTTTCCAGTCCAGCAACCTCCCTAATCCAGCACCCTCCCTAATCCAGCAACCTCCCTAATCCAGCAACCTCCCTAATCCAGCACCCTCCCTAATCCAGCAACCTCCCTAATCCAGCAACCTCCCTAATCCAGCAGAATATCCTTAGCACAAATGGTGCTGGACTATACCGGGACCACTGTATCCCCGCGTGCCTGCCTTGAAATATACCCACAGATAGCCAGACTAACCTAAGCAGGTGGACGATCCGACAAAGTTACTGTAGCCTTGCGGGCAAACGCAGAAGTAGGAGCCCGGCGTGTTGGCACAGGTGTAGTTGCTAAGGCAATCATGGCTGCCGAGAGAGCACTCATCGATTTCCGTACAGTTGGGTAGCTGATAGCCGGTCTGGCAGCCACACGTGTAGCCGGCGTCCGTTGTAGAGTTGAGCGAGCATGTTCCCTTCTTCTCGGCACACTTGTTCCCGGACCGGGTAAGACAATAGTTGACTTGTTGGCATCCTGCATCTGAAGGAGTAGAACAAATCGTAAAACAGAAGCATGAAACCCTCAGGCAGCAGAGGAGAGAGAAACAGAGTTTCACTCATACCTCGGTTACGCGCACCCCGACGTTACAGACACTTTGGTATACTGGGTACCGTTCGGGCGAGTCTAAGTGGAAATACCACTACTATTTGGTCAAGTTTCGAGGAAATAATGATGTCATAATGCCATATCTATGGCCTTTCCCCATCAAAATGTATATTATGATTCGGAGTTACGGACATATTAAAGTTACGGGCAGGGCCCCGGTCCCCAGACCGTCTGGAAAAACGAGGTACACGTATGAGTGCACAATTGAGAGAGGAGCAAAGGCAGTAGAGGACTGTCCAATAGAATCAAAACATTGTTTGGGAGAACCCCACATGCGTGCACAAGATGACGCACGCGTACATGCACTCCCAGGCACAGGCAAGTACGCACGCATGTACGCACAGGCAGGTACGCATGCATGCACGCACAGGCAAAGTGCATACACACTCAGGGGTGTGCTCGGCTCCCCTTCCAGACAACAGCAATTTTCGAAAGGTTGTACCGGTGACACCATCAGATATTTGTACATGTGACGTCATAATTACTGTTACAAAGATTGTAGGTCATCAAGAATGAACACAGTACAGCATCATATCAATTTTTCAAAATAAGGATGAAAACTGTACACGTTCTCTTTCCTTTCTAGCGCTGACATTCGTGTGCCACTGTGGTGATATTACACTTGACATGCTGTACGTACGGGACTGCCTGGCTGCATATAGGCCGCGCACCAGGCCCCTACTACACAACAACTTACTAGTGCATTGTACAAGACACAGGTGCAGGATGTGCTCCCGCGAGGTTGGGCTTTCCGCAATACATTTGTGACTTTTCAAAACCCCGGTCGAAATATTTTTTGGGGGTCCACTTGCCCCATGTGCCCCCCGCCAAGCACGCCCCTGACACTGGCGAACTTATGCACGTCCCCACACACAAACACACCAGCTCCTCTCTCCCTAACCTGCAACCTCTCAATTGGAAGTCGACTGCACATACCACTGCACCATATGGGCACACGCACACACACACACGCACACACACACACACACCTCAGACCTCAGACATGCCCATCGCGGGAGCGATGATAGCGAACAGCTATGTTAGACATAGCAACTTGTGCTGGGATTACACCATTCAACAGCTTGCAAGGCTGATGAATTGACCGCCACTATTTTTAGCCTGGTATCCACCACACAGCTGTTTGAAGTGACTTTTTCTGGCCAGTGAATTCCTATTTTTCATTTTTCCATTTTTTCCATTTTTTTTCTACACACACACCACACCACATACTCTGGCATACACTGGCTGTTGGTAACCACCCAGGAGAATGAAAGAAAAGTCAGGAAGAGTCTGAGAAAGAGAAGAAAGACGTGTGTGACCATAATCGTCGGGAATCGAACCCGCAACCTATCGATTGTAAATCGCTGCACATACCACTGCACCATATGCACATACCAACCACTGCACCATATACCACTGCACCATATGGGACACACACACACACACGCACACACACGCACGCACACACACGCACACACACGCACACACACGCACACACACACACACACACACACGGGGGCGTTCAGAAACCCGCACTCACACTCCCATGCAGCACACCAGAAAGACGAGTCTCACCAGTAGCAGTGTCTCTCCAGTGCTTGGGACAGGCACATGTATATGATCCCGGCGTGTTAGTGCAGATTGAGTGTCTTGCACAGGAGAGCGGATAGCCGGGAAGGTTGCATTCGTCAATATCCTGACACTGATGGGCAGTTTCGTTGAACAACTGCCCGCTGGCCTTGCATTGGCACACCGGTGTCTTATACGGGGAGCACCAGGAATCAGATGGGCAGTATGATGCGTTTCGGTTACACACGTTGTCAGCTGCAGGGTCGGCCGACGGGTAACATGTGCAAAACACACAAAGAAGCAATGAATCAGCGCTGCGCACGAATGAGAACCACGTGGACCCGGTCACAGGCACATAGCCAGCATCGAGCACAGAGTGGGGTATTTGCCCCCCCCCCCCCTTAACATTTCGACTTAGGTTCAGCAGGCACATATAGACCCTGAATGACATACACCCGCCATCCTGTACATATGCAGCCATGCACCGCCCCCCCCCCCCACACACATAAAAGGGGGACCAGCTACGACTCTGGCGGGCCGGAAGAGCCGTATGCGTAGGACACATGTACACACGGCTGGCCTATCAGACCTTGCTTGCCCCGACCCCATGTAGCTGGACATGTTCACTGACCGGGCGAGTATTGTTCGCAGCAGATGCATTCCATAATCGTCTTGAGGAGTGCTTGGCACGCTCAGCCCTTTGTTTTGGAAAGCATTTGACTCTCCAGGAATTGTCCTGCTCATATACAGGCATGCGCCCAGTAGGACGTCCGCTCTGTGAAGCAAGTTTTTATTTATTTATTTTATTTTTCCTGAACACCACAGAACTATGAGATGCTGAGCAGCGGGGGCGGTGGCTTATTGTAATTTGTAAAGTATCAGCAGCAAGACTGGAGCAGACCATACCCATGTGGTGCTAAGAACTTACGGAACTGAGGCCTGTTTGTACGGTGTTGCACAGTCTTGTGATGTACAGGTTTTTAAAGGTTTTTTTTACATTTATCTTAGCTCACAGGCAAAGACAAACAATATCATAGCGGGAGCATAGTGATGGTGAGGCGTTTTGCCCTCAGCCGATCTGAGGTCGCAGCCGTCGTTGTGATGTGCAATCGTTGTGATGTGTGCAGTCGTTGTGATGTGCGCAGTCCCTGTGATGTTTTATTTCTCGCCGGCCGAGCGGAGCGAGTGAGGCGAGAAATGATTTCTCGCGCAACAAAATTATTTGTCTTGCGAATATGGAATCTGATGTTTTCGCTTTTTGTTGCCGTTCTTTTTGCCTGACTCCTTCAGTCAGTTTTTTGTGTCTCACCAGTGTGGATCGGTTTTTTCCAGCTACAATAGTACATCTGACATCGAAAGCCACTGCTTCAGGATGCCTCGCACCAGAAGTTCGCCCTCGTCTCAGCCGTCTGTGCCCCTGACATCCCTGCCACGATCGTCTCCGTCGACACGAATTTCGTCATCGTCGGCCCGTTCCTCGTCTCTCCCAGCCTCAGCCCGTGTACCAGTTCTGTCGGCGGCACCATCGCGACAACCTGCGTCCAGTGCCGACAGCCCCCCCGCGTGGGCCCAGAACTTGACGCGTCTGGTGGAGCACCAACAAGTCCAACTCCAGTGCACGCAGGACGAGATCCGAGAGCTGAGGGCAGCGTCCGCCACAGCTCCTGAGGCCAGACAGTCGAAACCCTCGTTTGTCTCCAAGGGCTGCGAGCAACAATTTGACCTGAACAACGAGGTGTTGGCCACCATGGAGAGGGCAACGCGACAGGTCGGCGCAGGACGCCACCAGGACGCCGTTGACTCCCTCCAGCAAGGTATGCAAATTCTCACTAAGAGAAATAAATTGTTAAGGATAGCCGATAAAAAGGGATGGGACACTGTGGCCGAATACATCGGCGATGATTTTGCCGACGACGACGAAGATGCCAGGAAAATCCGCAGGGCCGAAGTGGAGGCCACGAAGAAGAGAAAGGACCGAGGGTCCCGCCGTTCTCCTCCACCCAGATACAACCCATACCCCCAACGGGGCGACGCCAGAGGGTTCGCCAGGTCGAGTACATTTCGCGGGGGGAGTGACCAGCCACTCCGTGCCCCCTCTTCTAACAGCAGCGACCACTGCAGAATCTGTGGCCACAGGGGCCATTGGGCGAGAGACTGTCGCCAGCCACCCCATACTGGGCCAACGGACCGACCCCGACGCCAATAGCCAACCAGATAAGTTGCCCGTGGTTGCATGCTCTTTTTTGTCCAATGAATTTAATTCTCGTACATGTATGTCTGATCCGTCTGAGCTCTGTGGAAGACTAAGGCGAAATATCTCGTTTTGGGATTCCATAGGAGTCTCGTCTTTCGCACGCTCTGTAATTCTTAATGGGTATTATCTCCCCCTTTCATCCCTCCCACCCACCACTTCGTTCCGTAACCATAGTAGCGCCGTAAAGCATGCTGAATTTGTTTGTAATGCCATTGAGGACTTAATCGCCAAAGGCAGCGTATCAAGAGTCGACGCCTCTTTCGTCCACTTATGTAGCCCGCTGGGTGTAGTCGCACAACCCAACAAGCTGCGCCTCATATTAGATCTGAGATTTCTGAATGATCACCTGACTCTGAAAAAATTTAAATATGAGGATATCAGGTCCGCAATGGCCTTATTCGAAAAAGGCGATTTCTTTTTCACGTTTGACCTGGCATCCGCATATCACCACATCGATGTTGACCCCAGGTACTGGAAGTTCCTAGGCTTTACGTGGCCAACTCCCGACGGCCAGTCGCAGAGCTACGTGTTCAAATCTCTCCCTTTTGGCTTAGCCTCGGCACCGTATGTATTTACTAAGGTCACGCGTGATTTGGTGCACCACTGGAGGCGCCAGGGCATCAAGTGTATGATGTATTTGGATGACGGGGCCGCATGCGATGCGTCCGAGCAAAGATGCAACGAAATCTCAGTCCAGGTTCGCCAGGATCTGCTTTCTGCTGGCTTTATTCTCAGCGACAAAAGCAGATTTCAGCCAGCCAGGTCTGGCACTCTCTTGGGCTTCGATCTGGACCTTTCGTCCGGCTTTATTTTCGTCACAGAGCGCAGGGTGGCAAAACTCCGAAACCTCCTCGATTCGCTTGTATCGGCAACTTCCGCAACTGCACGAGACGTAGCCCGGCTTGTCGGGACCATCATCAGCATGGGACCAGCCCTTGGTAAAGTCACCCGCTTACGGTCACGCTCGCTATACGAAGCCATAAACGCCGCTTCCCACTTTGACGAGCTTGTCCATCTCCCACCGCGTGCCCGGGCCGAAATTCTTTTCTGGAGCTCCAGCTTCGATCAATTCAACGGGCGTCCTCTCAAACCTCTTCGTCAAGATACCGCGGTCTTCACTTGGTCCGACGCCAGCGATTTTGGTTGGGGTGGATTTGTAATAAACCGCAACGGGTCTTCCCTAGCAAGAGGACGCCTACCGGATGTCCAGCAAGGTCCCCATACCAGTAGCACGTTCCGAGAGCTGTTAGCCACACAGCGAGTTCTGGAATCGGTGACTAACCAAGTCAAGGGTTGCCAGGTCATCCACCGCACGGACAATCAGGCCGCAGTTGCGATCCTAGAATCCGGCAGTCAACACCCCCACCTCCATGATGTCGCGACCGCCATTTTCCAATTTTGTCTTCAACACAGTATCCAGCTTTCGGCAGAGTGGATACCGCGGTCAGAGAACGACCGTGCAGACTACCTTTCGAAACTGGACGACTCCGACGACTGGATGCTTTCCCCTGCCATCTTTTGCCGTATTAATTCGCTGTGGGGCCCCCACACCATTGATCGCTTTGCCTCTCCAGAGAACAACCAACTCCCACGCTTCTGTTCTAGGTGGTGGAACCCAACTTGCGTGACGGTGGACGCCTTTACCGTCTTGTGGTCGGGAGAAACAAACTGGGTCTGCCCACCGATCTACCTGATCGCGCGCTGCATCCACCACTTCCTGTTCTCCAAAGCCGATGGCACTCTTGTGATCCCGTTTTGGCAGTCGGCAATATGGTGGCCTCTGTTGGTCGATGACACCCGCATCTTTCGCGCCTTCGTCCGTGACACTTTGCTTCTGCAACCACACCGGGACATGTTCAAATCCGGCCACTGCAAGTGGAATTTCTTCACCTCCAAGATTCCTCGCTGTGAAGTAATCGCCATCAGGATCTGCGCCTGCGGCAAGCACCAACGCCAACGTGTCCCTGTGCCCCTTTGCTGATGCCCAGCTGAACTGTCCTCGATACTCTGTTTATCATCACGCATGCTTTAGTTCTCAATTGTTTTACTTGCTCTTTGGTTTACGGTTACTAGTACTGGCGGGATGCCATAAGTTCACCTCCCCTCCCCCGTGCACTTTGTCGTTCTCTCGATTATTCGTGAATAAAGGTAGCGATCCTTATAAACACCAGCCGACACCGATCCTCATTGCCCTGGGCATTTCCCCATGGGGAAGGGTGGGTTACAGTGTGTGCATGGTCTCACCTTGGGCTTGCACCCGAGTGAGCGGGCCTTGGTAGAGATATTCTGCAATTAAATCTGCTTGGTCAGCTGGATGCATATTGTTACAGGGTGTACTAGAGGATGAGTGTCTGTACAACTGTCTAGGTGCCTACATGGTGCTCTGTGAGATTTCAGATTGCCCCACTACACCCGTCTTCCTGAAGGTACGCCTGGCGCACTGTGCGTTGACGAAGGAATCCCAGTATAACTGTCTTACTGGAAGAATGCATTGTGCATTGCGTGATGGCGGAGGATTCCCAGTATAACTGTCTTACTGGAAGAGTGCATTGAGCATTACGTGATGGCGGAGGATTCCCAGTATAATTGTCTTACTGGAAGAGTGCATTGCGCACTGCGAGACGGCGGAGGGTTCCCAGTATAACTGTCTTACTGGAAGAGTGCGTCGCGCACTGCGGGACGGCGGAGGGTTCCCAGTATAACTGTCTTACTGGAAGAGTGCATTGTGCGCTGCGAGATGACGGTGGAGGCCCGGTATAATTGTCTTACCGGAAGAGTGCATTGCGCACTGCGAGACGGCGGAGGATGCCCCGCATAACTGTCGTCCTGGACGGGTGTATTGCGCACCGGTACGAGACCGGCCGAGTGTCACTTTATCTGCCTATTGCATAAGCTCATCTGTTTGTTTAGGCCGGGTGGCGACCGTTAACGATCGTTAATTGGGTTTCTAGTCATCTGTATGCAGTGCATTGGGGAACGGGGGTTACCCCCCTTTCTGGTTACGGCCTGGCCGATAATGTTCAGGTAGCCTCGGGTCCCCATTGCAGTCGCCACTCCCACAGGGAGCCTTGACCACCTGATTTTCCGGGGTGCTGTCTGGCTACTGCCCATGGTTGCTTCACATATTTCTGCACCCTGGCGTCTAACCTCACTGTACCGTGTGCTTCTCCGGTGTTCTCTCTCTCTCTATCTGTCTTCCTGCTGCTCTCCCTCTGCCTCTCCCGCTGTTGTATCTTTTGCTCCAGAGTTCTTTCAGCACGGACCCTGGGAGGATTGTTTCCGCTCAACCCACCCAGAGCTGCAGCGGCTCGCATCGATGGTTCCGGCAGTCGCGCTTGCTGATCGCGCGAGCTCTACAATTAAGAAGTACTCTGGCGCATTGGGCCGTTATGCGGACTGGGCATCTCACTACGATCTACCCATCCTTCCTGTCAGGCCCGCCGACCTGGTTCTGTATATGATGCATCTTCTACAATCCGCGCACACTGTGTCCCCGATCGTTTCCGCCATGAGTGCTATCAATTGGGCACACGAGAAGGCAGGATTTGACCCAGTCACTAGCTCCCCGATCGTGTCACAGGTCTACCTCGGCTGCCAGCGACTCCTCGCGACGCCTGCCTCGAAGAAACAGCCACTGTCACCCGACATGGTCAAGTCCCTGGTCGACCAGTTTCTGACACCTGACGTCGACTTGGACACCCTCCAGACCCTCACCCTCATTGTGGTGGGCTTCTCTTCGTTCTTGCGCTGGGACGAACTGCATCAGATCCGGGTTCACCAGATTACTTTCACGTCCACTCACGCCGCTATATTCGTGCCGCGTCGCAAGAACGATCAGCTACGCGAGGGGCATGAGGTACTGATTGCCCGCTCCCCATCAGAGTACTGCCCGGTCAGCCTCCTCAGCCGGTTCATTCGCCAGGGCCGCCACAGCGAGACCCAATTTCTGTTTGGTAAAATATCTCGCGGTTCGCGGTCGCCCGATCAAATTCGCAACACACCGATGTCGTACTCCCGGGCTTTGGAGAAGGTGCGGCTGCTGCTCCAGGGAATTGGCCAGGACCCTGCCCGCTTCGGTCTCCACAGCCTCCGGTCTGGTGGCGCTTCAGCTGCGGCCGTAGCTGGCGTTCCGGATAGGCTCTTCAAGCTGCACGGCGGTTGGAGGAGTGATGCCGCCAAAGATGGCTATGTGGAGGATTCCACTGAGCATCGTCTTCTGGTCTCCCAGTCCCTCGGACTCTGAACTCTTTGTTTCCATTGTGCGCTGTAGCATGTCTCTCGTTCTCTCTTTTGTCCATCCTCCTACCTTCTCCCTCCCTCCGCTGCTGTTCTTACCGCGCTATGCTTTTTCTGAGTCACATCTGGCTGCGGCCTACTACCCTCACTCTGTGTGCTCCTGTCGTTATGTCGGTGTATGTGGAGCGAGAAGTTTTATTTCTCGCCGGCCGAGCGGAGCGAGTGAGGCGAGAAATGATTTCTCGCGCAACAAAATTATTTGTCTTGCGAATATGGAATCTGATGTTTTCGCTTTTTGTTGCCGTTCTTTTTGCCTGACTCCTTCAGTCAGTTTTTTGTGTCTCACCAGTGTCCCCACCCTCCCACCCTTCATGTCTGCCCATCTTCTTCCATTTCTTTCTTGGCTGTAGATATGTTGTGCCTGTTTTTATGCTGCCAGATTGCCGCTTGGGGTTATACACCCGGTTTTTTCCCTCATTCGTGCGTCCGTCGGCGCGAGGGTTTTTTCCCGGCTGGCTCGGTCCAGAGAAATTAATCTGACGGTCCCAAGTGGTGCTTGTCCTGGCTTATTAGATGAATGTGCTAATTCCATACTCCTGGGTCTGTCCCCCTCTTGTTGCTCCTAGTTTTCTTCTGCATTCCGGTTCACATCTGGCTGCGGCCTACTACCCTCACTCTGTGTGCTCCTGTCGTTATGTCGGTGTATGTGGAGCGAGAAGTGTGGAGTCGTTGTGATGGGCGCAGTCCGTGTGATGTGCGCAGTCCCTGTGATGTGTGGAGTCGTTGTGATGGGTGCAGTCCGTGTGATGGGTGCAGTCCGTGTGATGTGCACAGTCCCTGTGATGTGTGCAGTCGTTGTGATGGCTGCAGTCCGTATGATGTTTGCAGTCCGTGTGATGGGTGCAGTTGTTGTGATGTGTGCAGTCGTTGTGATGTGTGAAGTCCGTGTGATGGGTGAAGTCCGTGTGATGTGTGCAGTTCTTGTGTATGCGTGTCTGTATTTATTTAAGTTCGCGCACGCATGTGTGTGTATGTGTTTGGGGGATGGGGGATGGGGGGGGGTGGGTGGGGGGAATGGGGGGGGGGGGGCAAGGGGCAGGGGGGGGGGGGGGCAGGAGGCAGGGGGGGGGGCAGGGGGGACTACACAGCACTTCAGTATGTACCAGCGTACTTACATATGCAGTCCACCGGTAACACTGATGGCTTTTTGTATGCGGCATAACCGTCGATCAGTTCACAGAGAGGGACATCTGTTTCGTTTTTCCCCGATTTATAGGCGGGTATCGAACCATGATTGCAGGTGTAATTCATTCTTCTGCCGATAGGTGTTGGATGAACGTTACCGAATGGGAGATACTTGTTAATCACACAATGGTCTGCAAGCAGTGAAACACACACACACAACACACAACACACGCGCACACTCAAACTCAGACATGTCCATCGCGGAAGCGATGATAGCGAACAGCTATGTCAGACATAGCAACTTGTGCTGGGATTACATCATACAACAGCTTGCAAGGCTGATGAATTGACCGCCGCTAATTTTAGCTTGGTATCCACCACATAGCTGATTGAAGTGGCTTTTTCTGGCCAGTGAATCTCTATTTTTCATATTTGTTTCCATTAATTCCATTCTTTTTTGACACACACATGCCACACGACATACTCCGGCATACACTGGCTGTTGGTAACCACCCAGGATAATGAAAAAAGAGCTAGGAGAATGAGAAAGAGAAGAAAGACGCGTGCGACCATATTCGTCGGGAATTGAACCCGCGACCTCTCGATTAGAAATCGACTGCATGTATTACTGCACCATATGGGACACCC